TAATCCTTTTCTTTGAACCTCTGTATAATTTAAAATTTTAGTTACATCAAGAAATAATATTTTGAATGTTGAATGTTTACTTTTATTTCTGTTTAATTGAGTTTTTGTAAGGACAGACTACATAACATAATTTATAATGTACCCACATTATATGTAGGTTATGATGGATGTCCTTTGAAAGAGGATATTAAATTGAAATTGTCTTGTGATCACCCAAAGGTACTCTAGTTTTAAAAGAATTAGAAAACAATCACTGGTCACTAAAAGCAGCTGAATCAGCATTTTTATCTCACCCACCACTCCAGTCTTCATTGACAGGATCTTATGCTGAGAGGATTCAAAGAAATCATTTTAGTACTGACACAGCGTGTAATGGGGCAGGGCTGTTGGTAGGTGATCTTTTTTTGAATGTGTGTCTTCATTGCTGGAATCTGAATCTCTAGGTGGATTACTAAAGGATTGCAACTGTCTATACCTTATTTTTACCTATGTTTCTATTTTGAACTTATGGTGCATTTCAGTACAAAAATGAGCAGCCACATAAAAATTAGATGGGGAGGTGAAGTGACATCATCAGACCAACAGGACTTACAACAGAAGGACCTTGGTATGAAGAGGCAATGGGAGCTTTGAGCGCCTCGAAGGGCACGACGCTGGAAATTTCCAGTGTGAAAGACGGTCAGGATGATCCCCTAGTGAGGCCCTTCTTGAAGAAACAGATGTTGCACTTGGGAAGATTCTTGGTCGTTATTTGCCTGTTAATGGATGATGTCAAAAGCCTATCTGGAAAATCCAGAGAAGTTGCAGTGAGGGAAGAATTTAAGCTGGAACCTTTGCACAAGAAACTGCTACCTTACTGACTGGGGAAGGAGAGGAAGGTAAGAAGTCCGAGAACCTGAAGAAGCCCCTTCAAGATACCTCAGCCTAGAAAGGGTCAGTGCACGTGGCCTGGGGCGGCAGAGATGATTGGCAGCTAGATTGGATGTTTTTCTCAGAATCGGCTCAAAGCTATTCAGAGACAGAAGAGGACATCGTGATCAAGAATATTTAAGGACATTTGAAGAAAAACAGAATCATTATATCACTTTGGAATTCAGCAGCTGTTACTCTTTAAAAATCTGGCTACCCTTATATTAGGGATAGTCATCACATTTTAGGGATATGTTTTATTTGTTTAAAGCCTGGTTTACCATAAGATATGTAGATGAGTCCAGGAAAATAGACTGGACCCATGCAATAAAAAAGATAGTGGTGCTCATTTTCAAAATCGGTAACTCTGTTCCAATAATAGATTTTTTTTTGGGGGGGGGGCGAGATCTCCCATACCTAGAACTCACTTAGTTGAATTTCACTTGTACTAAATACAAAAATAACTTTGTTTGACTCTGAAGAATTCTTCATGTGAACACTTGTCACATGTAAGTTATATCTATTTAACATGCAATTATAGTCTTATTCTTTTAAAACATTGTGAATATCTGATAGTACATTTTAATTATATATGGGCCTTTTCCCCATCATAACCACATGGTGCATTTCATATATTCTTTGATATATGTTAAAGCCTATTGAGCCAAATTTGTGTCCCCAAATGTCATTCAGTGTGACTCCATCCCCTGGTTAACCTATCTAGTGTCACTCCCTCAAAGAAAACAAGTCTCCTTCTCCCAATAGTCATCAGTTGTTATGGAAGCTCAATTAATACCAAAACTGAGCATAAAAGTGGGGACACGGGAAAGAAGCCCCAGCCTTAGCTGAGGAACTATAGACTTATTCTTAATATCAATACAATTAGGTAGGGTGCATGCATTCGTTCAGACCATACAAATCTGGAGGTATAATTGATGATAAGTTGTTAATTTGAATTCATAGGCCCACTTATATTGGGTTGTTGTAAGACAGTGCATTCCTTTGCTCTGATTCGTGCCAGATCATGCTGGGGCATTAGTAGCTGCACTTCAGGGTACCTGTGGTTGTGCCATGTGATCATGTAACATCTTTCTGTGTGTTGTGTTGTTCTTAGTTCACAGCTCCTTATGCAGGTGGTGATATCTTGCCCTTACTCCTTCACTTGTCTGAGACACCACTTCTGCCTCACTCACCAGTATTAAAATGGGGTGACATTTACCAACAATGCAGTGCCTTGAATATTTTTGAAGAACTCATGACTATTTTCCTTGGCTTTTTACCATTTTGCATTTTTAATGATCATTTGAGATGCACATACCTGCTTCAACCCTCCCTTACAGAACATATTCTTTGAACATAAAAGAACTATAACAGATTAATCTTTTTGTCCTACACTGAGATCAAATTAAAAATGTTGCTCTATAAGAATTAACAGAAATTTGAATAAATTCTCTTCTATTTATTTTTCCTTCTACCAAATATTTTAATTTTCTTATTTGTTGAAACCAACGCTATATTTTCAGTCTTAAAAGTAATTATTAATTTTAAATATGTGCTTGTATATGATGTATATGGAGAACAAAGAAATACTGGCTTGCAGTGTGGCATATATTGTCTAAAACCAAAACACTTGAAATTATACATTTAATAATGGGGAGAATATCCTATTCGTAAGTGACGTATTTTAATTTCTCACTTATTTATGCTAATGGAGAAGAAGGACGCCATAAATAATGTAAAAATCACTTACAGCTGACTTGGTTATATATTGTATGTTTTTCATCAGACTTAGTTTCTTAATTATCGGTCTATTTATTATGCAGATGAGCTACCATTGTGAGTGTTTAACAAATGATGATTGGTGGAGGTGGCTAAGAGCCTTCTATGTAGTGAGAAATTCAATGCAGCATTAGAAACTGACCGTGGAAAATCTGTGTGTGGATGACTGACACCCAGGAAACTGACAGCCTGGGATGCAGGAGAGATAGGAAATAGGTATTATCTTTGTTCACAGCTATTTAACCAGAGTTTAACCTAATGTTTTACCTCTCAAATTTTTATCTAAAATTTCATAGGTCTTATGTTTTAAATATGTAAAACTTTGCAGAGTTTGATAATGAAAATGCAAAGTGAAGATAAAAAATGTTTTATTCTAGCTTTCTCTTGACATTGTGAATTTGAAAACGTCACACATGTACAGTTATTGCTTATTTGCCTGGAATAAGCATCAAAAACTAAGGAGTAGGAAAGTACATAAAATTGGTGAATTTATATAAAAGTGTTCCTTTGTATCAGCATGTGGGAGTAGGTTGGAGAAATATCTTTTATGTGAGTCATTTCTAGATAAAGCTATAAACTTTTTTAAACTAAAAGCTGTCATAGTGTCTTATAAAATAATAAAGATAATAAAGATATCCATTTTAATTGATTTTTTTCATTGTTTAATAAAATTGCTTTGATTGCTGATGAATTTGAATTGAGTTTTCATTACCCACTTCTGAACAATTTACTCTAAGATCCAGACAGTATTGAGCTAATGAGTTTGAATTTATATTGAACCTTAACTGTCTTCATGAAGTAAATGGAGAAAAATCATAACAGTAACTAAGTTTTCTTCATTAAAAACTATGTCATAGAGATTTTACAAGGCTTTTAGTAGAACTAAATTGGAATTTTACCAACTTTGCTGATTCCATGTATATGATGGCTCCTTTTATTTTAAGATTAAAAAACTCATAAGCTAAGATAAAATTTTTAATGGATAGTTTGTATATTCAACAGACCATATGCAGGAATCAATGATGATAAAGGGATTGGAACACATATGTAAATGGAAATGATTTATCAATGCCTTCCAAGGAGTACCTTAAGAAAGTATTTAAAGATCTAGTGAAATGTGATATTATCATGAATATTAAAGTGTTAGCCTTCAAATGGACAGTTTTGGCTTTGATGTTGATACTGTGTTACTCATAAATTTGTATTTGCCTTTATTTAAAGGCCAATGATGTTTTCATTCATACACCATTAGTATTTTATATTGATCTCATTATGTTTCCTAAAGTGTGTTCTCTGTGCAACATCTGACCAAGTTAAATTCTTATGAATCAATTTTTTTTCATTTGTGATTGAACTGAGTTAGGTATTCTGAATCTATTTGTTGACTATGTTATCGTTCACATCAAGAATAATTTTGGGTTATATAAACACCGTTTTACATAGTCATTAGAAGTAATTATTTAGATATATAATATCATCGATATAATATTAATTTTGGTAGCCAAACACAATTAAGCTCTACAATAAGGTAAATGTTTCAGAAATATTACCTTGCAAAAATGTGAGGTCTTAAGAAATAAGCAAACAAAAGTAAAATACAGTTTAGAGGAAATTTTCTTAGTTACTTCATTTCCCTTGAAGCACATTTGCTAGTTTCCAAATGTCATACATTTTTCAAACCTCATTTCACATTAGTATTTGGATGATTTGGAATGATAGTGTATCCAAATAATTTATATTCGTTCCCCACAGGCAGCAATGATGGCTCTTGGGATAAGGAAACCCTGCACTAGTCCCCATCCCAGTGACGACTTGTTACCCATCTTGTTACATGCCTGCAGTGCATAGCCTTCCAATTAGTCATCCTCTCAACCATCTTCAGCACAGCCACATTCTGCCAAATGGTACTATGGCAACTTTTAGCAATAAAGAACGGTAGTTTTAAAATTATTTTTAAATGAAGAGATAGTAAAATAGTGCATAATAAGGGGGATATACTATATTCAAAATATTAAGAAAAACTAAAGCATTTCTATAAGTTTGCCCACTGATTACTGATCAGGGAAATAAGAAAACCAAGAATAGAACATTTGCATCAAACACACAGACATCAAACTATGACATTAAACTAGTTAGCATTAATTTAATTTCCTTAAGTCATGAGTTAACAATATCGTATTCAAAGAAGAAAACTGTTTTTCTTTGACTATTACTATTAGAGTATTTTTCAGCATTTCAGCTCTTAATGACATGTCCATGATGATTTTAACTGGAATGCAGCAATAATGATCTATGTGTATTTTATTTTTTAGGACTAGAACTTCCTTTTATGATGATGCCCCACCCTCTAATTCCTGTCAGCCTACCTCCAGCATCTGTCACCATGGCAATGAGCCAGATGAACCACCTCAGCACCATTGCAAATATGGCAGCAGCAGCACAAGTTCAGAGCCCTCCATCCAGGGTGGAGACGTCTGTCATTAAGGTGATTGTTTTATCATACTGTTTTGTAATGTTCACCTTAAATCACCATCTCTTGATCCTTCTGTCTCTCCACATAAGTAAATCTCACCTCTAAATGCTAAATAGTGGCTAACAGTCAGTGAGAAAAAATGACATGTAGTAAGTAGTCACAGGGTACAATATCTATGCCAACTTCAGTTATTTTAAATTCTTGCTTAACAGAGAACACTGGGCACTATATGATATATAAATTCTTACATGCACAGATATGTGTATGCATGCACGTACTTCTTTATGGTATTATAAGCTTTTAGAAATGGATAATAAGAGAAATCTAAGATCTAAATTTTGCCACTTATTAGCCTTGAACATGTAACTCAATTTTTTCATTATAGTCAATATTTAAGGAATAATGCAGTGTGATTGTATAATCTAATTTACTATAATAAAGTTGAGTGTTTATAAATTTTAAAATATACTGTAAATGAACAATAATTGAATTAATACATATACTTTATATGTAGGTATATTATACACTTTGTTCTTTCTCTGTCATGTGTATGCATTCATTTAATTTTGTGTACATGTATGGTGTATACATATACGTTTTTCTGTCTTATTATTTTAAAAGTTATTTAAATTGAAGTTGTTAGATTGGGTGAGAAATAAGAAATAGCAAAACATAGCCTTTAAGGTTATATGATCAACTTTTATACCAAGTAAAAGATAGTTCATACTTCAAGATCTTCATTTAATAAAATAATTACCTCTTTTTTTATTAACATAATACACTTGAATTTCTGTCAACCCTGAAGCATGTCCTGAATTAAAGGCACTGTTACTGTTGAGGTGTGGTGGCACACACCTGTTATTCCAATGTGTGACAGACAAGGAGAATCACGAGTTTGCGGCTAGTCCAGACTACTGAGTGAGAACGTATCTCAAAAAATTTAAAAAAAAAAAGAAAAAAGAAAAAGAAATACTACCCTATTACTATTTATTGTCCATAGAATCATTTCATAAGAAAAGTCATGTTTACATATTAATTGACATTGTCTCTAAGTAGTAACAGGGATAGTATTTCCTTTTGGGGATCAACTACTAAAAGCTGCTGCCTGTGAGAGTGCCAGTAACGGTCATACTGCAGGCAGACAAGGCAGATAGAAGGAAATTTTATGAAGCATTTTTTTGTTCTAAACGACTTTAAGAAGGATCCTTTGTTACAAGAAGTACAGTTAGGGCATTCCTGGATTATTCATTTACTGGTTTTGGTAATTTTTACTACTGAAAATATGACATCTGAAGTCTCACTTATTGAAATTACCCAGAAGATTTTAGGGGTAGAAACTCTCTTCTAAATATTTTTTTGTCTTTATGATCAATGTTATTTTAACATAAATTTTTAGACAGACTAAGTAATCATCATAAGTTGTTGGGGACTGGATAGGTGGTTCAGTGGTGAAAATCAGAGTCCATGTGGAAGAACTGAGTTTGATTCCCAGTACCCATATCAGGTGGCTTACAACCTCCTAAAACCCCAGCTCAGAAGAATATGACACTTCTTTCAGACTCTGGACAATGCACTCACTTGTAGACAGACAGACAGACAGACACACATACACACACAATTAAAGCTAAAATGAGCCTTAAAAACTTTGATTATTCTCATTATTTGCATTTCAAAAAATGGGCATATAGAATAATTTCAGATTCTTATATAACTTTAGAAAGTGAATTCTTCTAACTTCTCATTTAGATTTATATCAATAAATTAAAATATGATCATTATAGTCTAAAATCATAATAGATAATTTATATATGTTGTAATAGATGAAATCATAATAGATAACTTATATAACTCAACTATATATAATGTAGGTAGGAGATAATGGCTTATATATTTCTGAATCCAAAATACTGAGATATATCAGGAGATTTGATTTATTTTATTATTTAATATTCATACATTTAGAAATGTTTATGCTACATCTAATTTTCATTCAAATACTCTTAACTGGAAGACGATTTTAATGAATCCATGGCTGTTTTAGATAAGTAGGAAGAGGAGGAAATTAATTTTCTTCTGAAAGTGCCTTTACAAATCTACTCAACTAGATTGTTGGAATCCACAAATTTTTTTTTTTCAGACTAAGTTTCAAAATGAAGATGAAGAACTAGGAAGGAAGGAAATACCCAAAAAGAGAATGAGAAATAAGGAGTTTGTTTTTAAAGGATGTGCCAACACCTACTAATAGTGCCATCCCACTTCTTAGTCTCTTGAGACAAATATTTTCAGAAATTTAGCAACAGACAGAATAAGGGAGCCTCTGTATTATGGATGTAGTGCTAGTACAAATAATGCTAATAGCAAGGACATGGAAAACAATTGCTCTAGTTGAGATTGAATACAGAAAGCTGACATTATTTTGTTTTTCGTGGTTTTTTGAGTTTTTTTGTTGTTGTTTTATTTAATTTAATTAATTTATTTTTTTCAATGCCAGAGGGAAAGAATAGTGGCTTTGGGGAAATGCTGAATGACCCATATGTATAGGACAGCTCTGTTAATGGAAAGAATTTGCTCTACATTTGAACTACTGACGTGCTATGTGACAGGACCAGGTTCTCTGTGGTGTTCTAGTTAATAACAAACCCATCTGAATTTGAATATTAGAAGGCTCCACTGTTCAGGTCTTGTTTAGTAAATGTACTTGGTCTGTACTAATTAAATTTAGTTGAGGAAAGTTTTTTATTTCCTGAAGAAAATGCCTGACTCCACTGTCACATTGAACCACATTGGCCCCCTGTGTGTAATTAGAATAGTTCCTGCAAGTTGATTTGTTTGACAAGATTCTAAATGTGAAGGCCAATTGAAAGTGGAATGTTGAATACCAAAGATTTAGCCCCATACAAGAAGACATCTATTCTGAAGACAAAATAGAAACTTGAAGGGTTGTTTAAGGGCTGCAATGCACTGTTTATATTTTATGAACGATGACAGAAATTAATATTAAAACTCAACCTAAATAAAAATGGAAATAAAACCATGTAGGACAAAAGAAAAGTTTACCTCTCATAGTAGTTATTATAAATTATTCTCCTTCTAAATTGTTTTTATGAAATAAAATGCTCCAATATTTTTTCAATGGCATATTCAATATTGCATTCAAAATGGATTGTGGCTTAGATGTAAGTTTATAAGCTGTTGCTTTTGGTCAAAATCTACTGTGCTACTGTGTGATCCTTGAATGGAAATGCTTTTTTATTTGTAAATGATTAAAAATAAAAAGAAACAAGATTGCTATTATATGACAAAAAAGTTACATCAAATAGAAAAAATTGAAATTTTAATCCCATAAATAAGATCTTTGGAGGGATTATACCTGTAGTTTTTTGACTTGTGTAATGTCTATGATTGCTTTCATGTACAAAGGCAGAATTGAGTAAATATATGCTGTTGAGAGATGAAAATGTGGTAGCTCCATGGTAGAGTGCTTGTCTAGCATCTAGCATGCACAAGAGTTCAGTACCCAGCAACACACACACACACACACACACACACACACACACACACAATTGCTATTTGACCTTTAAGGGAAAATGAATTTTTGATCTCTGTTTTAGAATTTAAGTGACTTAAATCCAATGTAATCTTACATGTGAATAATTATAACAGGTCAAAATAAACTCAAACACTATAGCAATCAATATAAGCCAAATTAAAATCATTGGTATTTTAAGACTGGAAAAAAAATATATACCAAAGAAAATACAACTAGATGAGGGCCATAGCACTACGGTATTTTCTTTTTTTCACATTAGTGCAACACTCATGAGACAGTCTCTCTTACTATTTCTGGCTTTGTCTACTGGCAAGGTTTATTTTATTTTTAGCAAGCGTCTCACTATGAAGTCCTGTCAGACCAGGTTCTTCCCTGCCTCTGTCTCCCAAGTACTGAGATTAAAGGTGTGTGCCACCATGCCTGGCTTACTGGCAGTATTTTTTTTTCTTTAAAAAGAGGTTTGTTTTCATAATGGTTTTCAATCCCATCAAGTTAACAATTAACATTAGCCAGCGCATATTATGTAATCCAAATTTCTACCATATTTTATAGAAATATTTTTGATTTATTTATTTTTATTTTATGCATATGAGAGTTTTACTTGCATGTATGAAAATGTACCCACATCATGCAATCCCATTGAGGACAGAAGAGGGTGTAGGATCCCCTGTAACTAGAGTTATGGATGGTTGTTAATTTCTATGTGGGTGCTGGAAACTGAACCAGTCAGTGCTCTTCACCACTGAGCCATCTCTCCAGCCTCTGTAATATCTTCTGATGGTGGGTATTCTTCTTCTTGGCTGACTTTGGGTTTTCAGGTGTCTTCTATGTCTGTGCTGTACTCCAGAAGTGAACAAATCAGGGAAAGGACTCATTTACTACCATGAACCTCAGTTTGTGCAATAATCTACAAATGTTGCCATAGGTCCTAAGATTTTCTTCTTATTTCTTTCTAATTTTTTTGACGAGGGAGTTGAATATGTTTCTTACCATCTTTTGCATAAAATTCAACTAGACCAATATTTCTTAATCTTTTATTTGTATTAAGACTTTGTCTTTGTCTACTCATTTAAAAAATATTTTATTTATTATTTTTATTTTTTGCATATGAGTGTATTGACTGCATGTATAGGAGTCCACTTGTGTTCTGCAATGTCTGTGGAAGTCAGATGAAGGCATCAGATAACGGTGGAACTGGAGTTATAGATGGTTGCTAGCTGCCTTGTGGGTGCTGGGAGTCAAACCAGGGTCCCCTGCAAAACCAAGCAGTGCCCTTAAACACTGAGTTATCTCTTCAGCCCCTGTCAACTCTTCTTAAAATAAATTTCCAGTTCTCTGCTTTAAAACATATTAATGTTAGAATGCTAATAAACAAAACTGTCTCGAACAATTTGTGACATTTTATATGATTTCTAAAATTTAAACAGTGCTTTCTTTATTATCTTAAGTCCTTGAATGAAAT